TTTGCTTTTGCTTTTGAAATTTTTTATCCAGAGAAGAGCACATGGAGGTAGAAGCTCCACAAGGATCACAACCCACCCCAACATACACATATATGCACTTTAATTGATATTTATGTAGAACCTGGCATTAACTAGAAGGGTCAGGGTCTAATGGTACATAACCTCTCTGAGCCACTATTTTCCCTATCTCTAAAACAGGTCATCAGGGACTTCCCTGGTGGCACAGTGGTTAGAAACCCGCCTGCCAATGCAGGGGACAAGGGTTCGATCCCTGGTCCAGGAAGATCCCACATGCCATGGAGCAACTGAGCCCGCGTGCCACAACTACTGAAGCCCACGCGCCTAGGGCCCGTGCTCCACAACAAGAGAAGCCACCGCAATGAGAAGCCCATGCACCACAACGAAGAGTAGCCCCTGCTCGCCACAACTAGAGAAAAGCCTGCGTGCAGCAACAAAGACCCAACGCAGCCAAAAATAAATAAATTAAATAAATAAATAAAACAGGTCATCATGGTATGCTTCTTGACAGAGCCGTTGTGAAGATTAGAAGAGGTAATGCATGTAAAACATCTAATACAGCTCTTAGCACACAGTAACCCTTCAGTAATTGATAGCTTTTTTTTTTTTTTTAACCATTTTCCCTCTGGATAACTAGGGTATTGCCATTCTCATTTAGGCAAAAATTATGAAAATGGAAATCCTAGTCCCAGCTAGATTTTCTTTTGATCTTAACAGTTGTTTGATTCAGGCAAAAGAGAAGAACTACCTAGAAAGAAATTAGGTTGTGAGATAGAGATGTGGCTTATCTTTAATGGTTTCTTTTTTTATCATTTATTTGTTATTTGATTCATTCATGCATTTACTTATTCATTCATTACCTATTAGTAAGCAAGCTGCACCTTCTTATGCCTTTTAAATCTGACTCTGTATGGTCAAATGTACAGGGCTTTATATCTGTAACTTAAACAGTTTGAATTCCAATAGTATTCAGTTGGACATCTGAATTTTCAAGATGTAGCCCTTTGAAAAGATGTCCCATATAATGTACGATTTTATTAGGTACGTTTCTTCTTTGAATTTACAAAGTATGATCTCACCTTGGGATTTTTCTGTTTATTCATTTCACTGTCTGGATTGCTCTTCCCCTGTTTATCTAGCTCCTTTTCATCTTTCAGGTCCAGCTCAAACATCATTTATTCCATATACTCTTATCTTAGGTATCACTCACCCCAGCTCCCTCCATAGTCATTCCTGTCACATCATCTCATTTTATTTCCTTTTTGCCCCCTATTACCAAGTATAGTTATTTTATTTTGGCTATTTGCATAGTCTTGTTTTCTTTCACTAGAATATAAGTTTCATGCTTCAGGATTTTTTCAGTCTACGAGTAGACTTCAAACACTTTCTTTTCTATTTGACTTAGCCTGAGTTGGTTTCTGTTGCTTACAGACAAGAAACCTGACTGATATTCGTACCAGAAGTGGTTGCAGGCCACAAACACTCAGAGAAATAGCAGAAATTTGGGATTAGTGTTCTGGTCTAGGAAATGGGGTATTTTTGTTTATTTGTTTAGTGTAGTTTTAATTAACAAACACTTACATGGTTCTTATTACATACTATTTACACCTTTACAGAAATTATTTTATCTGATCCTCAGAATGACTATGGGGTAAGCTTTATTTTTAGCTGCCTTTTACAGATCAGGAAACAGGCACATAAAGGTTAAACAACTTGCCCAAGGATGCAGGGCTAGTGAGTAGCTATTTCATTTCAGTTGGTATTGAAGGCAGGGAAAATTCTAGTATTATTCAGGAACTGAAGTCTGGTAATCCATGGGATGCAGCTTTGAAGAACTAATGAAACCATTACCTATAATTACTTTGAATATGCTATGTACTCAGGGCCAGCTTTAGGGTCACGCTGCCACTGCTGCAGAAAAATGAAAGAGTTCATTGTCTACTGGATTGAGTGGACAACTTGAAGAAAGAAAATACAAGATCTGAATTTGTATTTTACGCTAAAGATGCAGACTAAAACTTAACAGATATTATATAATTGAGCTCACATAATTTCTTATATCTGTCAGCCTTAGGGCTGAGATAGTTCTTAACACTATAAATTCAGCCCATGAACATTAAACATTTAAAAATTAAATATTTTTCCCAGGTTTCCTATTTGAGAAAGAATCTATTGATCAGGAAGGGGTGAGATCAGTTATCCCAAATTACCCTTCACAAAGTTTCTTCAAGGAAAGATTCTGCTCCTGAGTGGTGCCGTGGCAGTCCAAAGGAAAGATGAGGATTTGAGGGGAGGAATATTTGTTTGGGTGGGTGTTTTTTAATTAGAATTATATAATATAAAACATGTGCTATATATTCTATTTTAATTTCTAATTTAAGACTCATATAAATGCATTCTGTGTAAGTTGATTGGCTCTTAAAATTGTCATGCTTAATGTTGAAAGTTAGGAAATCATATATATATATATATATATATATATATAATCTCACTGTTGTGGCCTCTCCCGTTGCGGAGCACAGGTTCTGGACATGCAGGCTCAGCGACCATGGCTCACGGGCCCAGCCGCTCCGCGGCACGTGGGATCTTCCCAGACCAGGGCACGAACCCGTGTCCCCTGCATCGGCAGGCGGACCCTAAACCACTGCGCCACCAGGGAAGCCCCACTCTGAACTCACTCTGTTGGCCAAAGCAAATCACATGACTGGATGCCCAAAGAGTGAGAACCATACCCTGTCCTCAGTGGGAGAACATTGGAAAGTTACCTGGCAAAGGTTGCGAAAATTTGGAGCTAATAATTCAGTCTGTCATAGTTTGGTTTATTGGAGGATATACTCTGCAACCAGCATTGGGAGCTGGGTTACAACTCAGGTATTTTAACTCATCCTGCTGTTATATGCATCAAAGATCTGGGCAGCAAGGAATCATCATTCCTCAGAAGTCCTTCTGAGTATAGGTGTCAGGAGCACAAGGACCCTAAATTTCTTCAACTTAGCTAGTATGTATTTAGTGTCTTTTTTGTGCCTAACACCATATTAACTTCTGGGGCTTAAGGAGCTTTAGGTCTAACAGTGAAAACAGACCATGAACAGGACTTAAAAGGTGGTGTGATAGTTCAGTAACAAGATTTTACTAGATATAAAGATAGCAGCAGAAGAGAGGGGTAATCAACTCTGCTTTATGAAAAGGCATAGAAAGCTTTGTTGAGAAGGAGATTAAAATTTGAGTGTTAGACAAATCCACAGTCCTTACAGAACAAGTTCAGGTAGAGAAGCATTTTTTGTGGGAAATACTGTAGCAATCTGTTAACTGTTAGAAATTGATTATAGTTAAAATCTCTCATTTATGCTCGGATAATAGGAAAGTCTCTGAGAGCCAATGAATAGCTTTGTAGTTACCACCTTCTTGCATTATTTACTGCAGTAGTTTTCAAAACTTTGGCCTGCATCAGAATCACCTGGAGGACTTGTTAAAACACTGATTGCTGGATTCCACTGCCAGAGTTTCTTATTCAGTAGGTGTGGAATAGGGTCAGAGAATTTGCATTTCTAACATGTTCCCAGATGATGCTGATGGTAGTGGTCCAGGGACAACACTTTGAGAACTATTGATTTATTGAATCTTTCCTATGTATCTGGCACTCTGCAACGTGGTGAGTATATAAAGGTAAAAAGAAGACGTCCCTGCCCTCAGATTGCCCGTGGTAGGGTGGCTGGGACAAAGAAGTGAATGTGGAATGACAGTGCAGTGGAATGGATGCTGAGATCCATGGAAGTCCAGTTTGCTGTGGAAATACACCAGAAGGACTCTAACTCAGACTGAGGCTGCAGGCTGCAAGTGTGTGTAAAACACAAAAAATCCTTTAACCCTGAGCTGAGTTTTTAAAAAACTCAGGAAGTAATAACAAGTAGAGAAACGACCGTGAGTCGTGCTTTGCGTAAGGTTCGTAAATGGAGCTGTCTTCGAAGTTGCCTTTAAGAAATTTCTGATCAGAATTTTTTAGACAAGCTTTTGGTGGTGTAGGTGGGACAGTGTATGTCTGAATTAGTTACTTTGCAAATAAAAATTATCCCCTTCTTTTGCTAATTTGTTCTACTCATCTTCAGCTATTGTTAAGATGCCAGTTAGATAAAGATGTTACATTCTATGTTTTCACAAAAAGAGTGAGAAATTTTATTTATGTCAGAATGCAGACAAAACTGGACAAGAGCAGGAACAATCAGAGCTGGGGAAACAGGGTTCCTTAGGCAGCTTTACCTGGGACTTGAGGTGCTGAGCCTGCAGGGGAACAGAGTCAGCTACTCAATGCAATTGTGGGCTAGCGTGAGACTAGGAGACAAAGTGACATCTCTGCCTTGAGAAGGGCACTGAAGAGGAATGCAGTGGATGCTAGGTAATGGATTCAGGCCGGGCTGTAGATAGCTCCTGCTTGGGCATGGTGAGGTGGTGAGGGGACTGGGCAGGAATTGATTAGAGGTGTACCTACAGTGGGAAGCTGCTGGGTCAGCTGGCCAAGTTATATGCCCAGCAAATGAAAGAGTGAACCTGACAAGTACTTGGGCTGGTTTAGAGAAACAGAGCCGTACTCAGGAGGTTGTTTGCCTTGGCATTGAAGACGTTCTGCCATTTTAATGAAGCAGTCTTGGATTGTGTTGTCCTCTCAACCCACAGGGGTAACACCCTTTCAGGAGTAATGGTCTTTGGTGCTCCTGGCTATCTAACCAGTTGTATTTGTTTTAAATCAAAAGCATATACCTAAAGCTATGCAGAACATTTCATTTTAAATGGTTATATTCCCACTGGCAAAGGGAGCTAATGTCAAGTAGAAATTATGAACAGAATGCTCAGAATGTTTTAAAATTGTGTAGTACAATCTATTTTCATTGGAGATGAATTACTGATGAAAATTGTTTGTAGTTTTTTAAACTATCCTTTTATCATGTAGTTTAATTAACCGTGAAACCTTGTAACCTTTTTCTCAGCATACGTCTGTGGATGGATATACTGAACCCCATATCCAGCCGACCAAATCAAGTAGCAGACAGAACATCCCTCGGTGTAGAAACTCCATTACGTCAGCAACAGACGAACAGCCTCACATTGGAAATTACCGTTTACAAAAAACAATAGGGAAGGGAAATTTTGCCAAAGTGAAATTGGCAAGACATGTTCTAACTAGTAGAGAGGTAAGTTTTCATGATTCCTTTTAATATTTACTTAGACCTCTCCAGAGTCTAGTTACAAAAGCTTTCCTACAGCTGATTCTGGGAATAAGTAACAGTTGCAATATGGTAAACACTGGGATATGTGTGAATGGAATGTATGTAGATAGAGTTATCTATACATGGCACAGAAGAATTGTCCTTATGTATTAGCATCTCATAAATCAGATGTGCTGCAGATGAGGTTTTCTCAGACTTCTGTCTTTCATTATATGGCTTCTGTAAAAATTTCTGATTTTTACCTGACCCCATGAACAGGGCTAGGATAACTTCTTAATTACTGCTTAAGCTGCAGTGAATATAGGAGCAGAAAATGAGGTTGTACATGTGAAACTTATATAGTGTTATAAACCACTGTTACCTCAATAAAATTTTTTTTAAATTACTGCTTGAGGTAAATTAGGTATAAATGTGTAGAAAGTCACCCACTAATTTTTATCTACTTAGAAACCACATTGAGCCAGTGTTATACAGATGTTTTTCTCAGATAATAAGAGAATCAGGTTTCTAAAATCCCATGCGTTTCAAATCAGATGTATTTATATAGCAAAATTTGTTTTTTAAATAATAATATATTTAATAACATATAATAAAGACTAAAAATAGTTAAACATCTAACACTCTATATTATATAGTGTTTACTGGATCCAGTTAGGACATTATGAAAAATCTGTCATAAAATGTTTTTAAGTTTCCATTTTGTTCTATACATAATATTATTGTCACATACGGTTAAATTTAGTCCTCTGTCCATTTTGACCCCAGGAGCTGTTGGGACACAGGCTGTATTAGACAGAGACTTAGAGGACATTTAAATCTGTTGTTAGTTTGCTGTAAGGAAGTTAGGGTGTCCAATCTCTCTACCCACATAATACTTAACTTACTAAAAGTTTATAAGCCTCTCCCCTCTGATAATTGTAACTTATTAAGATCATGAGTAAAAGATGAAGATACAGATGATTTTTACTTTAAAAGGGGAAACGTGGAATGACTTTAACAAAGGTGTAATTTCATTGACTCAGAATCAAATAGGTTAAAGACTTGGGTCAATAGAATATATTCTAAGGCTGCCTAATTATCAAAACTTTACCATCCAATTATGTGAACACCATATATCAGCTAAATTATATCTAGTTAGGGATGAAACAAAAGATGTTTTCCTTATAAATTTTATTCATTAAGATATGTATTCTCAAATATATTTTAATGGTTCTCTATTTTTTAGGTTGCTGTGAAAATAATAGACAAAACTCAGCTAAACCCTACCAGTCTACAAAAGGTATTTAATTATTTTAATAGTAAGTAATTAGAATACGAGTTTATTAATTAATATATGATACTCTGTAAAGTCAGTTATTCTAAACTTCCTGTTAGGTACAATACTACATTTCATCAATATATGAAGAAAAGATTTGATATAAAACATAATATTTACATTGAATAATATTTTAAAATGTTTATCAAGTGTTTCTTTGAAAAATATCTGCTACTCAAATGCATGTACCATATCAGAGGAACTTATGTCTTTTAATTCAGTAGAATAAAATTTTTCATATCAAATATTTTGAAGTAGTAAGGATTCCGCTTCGTTAAAAATCAGCTCCTGAGATACTGTTGTCCATAGGTGGGTTTCCTTCCATTGCTTCACTTGCTTTTCTTCCTTCTTCCACAAGAACTAGTCTTTCAACTAACCTACAATGAAAGATACGACCATTTTTCTTCAAAGGGTGAAAATATAAAGCAGGAGAGGGACCAAAAAAGGCAGTTAGGATGGGAATTGACCTGGTAAAGCTGTTTCATGTTGCTTCATTAGTTATTTATGTGGGAAAATTTTCTCAGATACACATACTAGTACTTTAAAAATGAAGCAAATATTTTAACATTTATGTCATATATGTTTGTGTATAGCTCACTATATAATATTTATATATAATATATATAAAGTACATTATGATTTTTATTAGAATATAATGGGATCGTGGTCACATATGTAAGTGTGATGTAAATAACTCTGGATTTCTAAAACAGAATTTTATAAGAAAATTTTAGTATAGTATGTTTAACTACACCTGCTGTGATTTTAATATTAAATTAAAAATTGGGGTCTGTGATATCAAGACTTTCCACTTGTCTCAGTGCCAGATAACTCAGTTTATTTTATATATTTCTACTTAGAGATCTGTCTTTGTACTTACTGAGATTCCTTTTAAATTTGACAACCAATATAATTTTTCATAGCATTAGTATTTCTCATCTGTGAGAACATGAAAGGTTTGCTGGATTTTTTTTCTCTCTGAGTATAAGATACTATACTTTATTGGATGTTTTTTGGGAGAAACTTCTAGCACCCATCTTTCATCTTTCTAAATCATGATTTAGTGGTATGCCTTATAAAAAGGCATCCTCCCTGGGCAGACGAGTTATCCAAAGATGCTGTGTTTTCCTGGACTAGAGCCACAGTGGGGCAGATTTTTGCCTGCCCTTCTCCTGGGAATCCTTTTACAATGCAGACTGCATACCAGCCCAGTGGCCCAGTCCATGGCCCACCTAGCCTTGTCACTTTTCCTAGGCTAATCTGTGGGTTACTCTGGGAAATTAAGTGATTTTAAGTGACATTTAGAGCTAGTCCAGGCCTGTTGTGCTCGTTGGAGGCACAGTAATGTGACCCCCTCTCTGTCTTTCCCAGGGGGGACCAGAGAAGGTTGTAGAACCAAAGTCACGCTTATTGAAACATGTGGACATGCAGACATGAAGGTGGACTGTTATTCAGATAAAAAATATACTTGTTGATGTAATTTCTATTATAAATTCTGCTAATCTTGCTGATAAATTGTTGCTTTTCCAAACAGGCGTATAAAAAATGATGGCAATTTTGTTTTCTTTTATCTGTAAAAATAAAAGCAAAGGAAAGATTGAAATTTGCTAAATGTAGCCAATACACTGTGTGTATTTTGTTGTTTTCAAAATAATTTTTATTTGTGTTCATAGATTCGTGTTCATAGATTTTTGTTGAAAGGTTTGGAAAAAAAACAGATCGAGGCTTGCTTAGTTTTCGTGCATTATAGAACGTTCAGCATTTGGCCTTACGCATTGAATGCTGGGAGCATCTCCCAGTCAGTCATATCTAAAAAATGAAAATGTAAAAAATGGAATTAAAAGTAATCATTTTTTTTTCCTTAGCATTGACAGTCAAGTCCTATAGGTAAAAAATAGCAAAATGGCTCTCCATGTCTTAGGTGTGCTTGTTGAAAGACAGATAATGACAGCACATACATTTACAGTAAGGATTCATTTTAATCTCGTCTCAACCCAAAAGTGTTTGGTTAAATCTTGTTCTGGACTTGGTCTGAATTTAAGCTGCTTCCCCTCCTTTACTCTCTTTTGTGTATAACGTATTTATAGGAAATATTAATTTCCTTTGTCAACATCAATGGCAGATAAAAGTAATCTAAATTTGATACCCCAACTGTTCCAAACTTCTAAAATATAAAGTTCTTAAAAACAGTTCGGTCTTTGGAATTGTTAAGCATCTTTGGCTTCAACATTCTTCACGTAATATGCTCATATTATTTGTATTACATATTTTAAATTAATGGAATCCGGTTTAATAAGTTTTCATAGTTTAAGAGCTATTTGATACACATGCTATATTTCCTTCTTCCTCTTTGGAGCATGACTCCCACCTCATATATTAGTGGTTTTTTTTTTTTTTTTTTTTTTTTTTTTTTTTTT